ATTTAGGAGGAGAAAACGTTTTCATGTTTGGGAGGATTAAAAGGGTACTGACATCATTCAAGTCATGAGCCATAATTCTTATTAGATTTTATTGCTACATTCTTCACACAGCTTTGGAAAGTTATTCCTAAGAGCACAAAATATGCACTTAGACTGCACACAGAGAAGGAACATGCTCTCACAATGAAATTATTTTAGGTTGGCCCAATAATACTTGAAAGGCTCAAGACTTATTCTCTATGTAATGTATCTTGGCAAAATAAGTGATGACTTTATATAAATTTGTCTCTTTCAACATCCTTTATAATTTGCCCTCTAAATAGTTAAATTTGGCTACAAATGATCTAATTTATGTATCTTAAGAAAAATTTTTCCCTTTTGAATATTTTAAAAATTTCAGGGTAAAAAGCATTTAAAAGTATAATCAAATCTGGCATTTAATTTAATTTTTTATAAAAATTTCAGGGTAAAAAGTATTTAAAAACAATCAAATCTGGCATTTAATGACTACATAATTGAGTCTTATACAAAACTACATAATTGAATCTTATACATCAGATTGTGATATCTGAAAGATTGGTATGCCTGTTAACCAATAACTTCTGGTGGCATGTTAAAAATTTATTTTCAGTTTTGTTCTTAATGAATTCATTTTGATTATTTCTGGACCATCCCAATTTCCCATGATGTGATGGAACAAAATTGTAACATTCAAAAATTGAATTAGATCACACAGAAAACGTCAACTGACTCAGATGGTAATAATGAGGTTTGGCTCATTCATTGAAAAGTGAGAGCCCAACTATGTCCAGAATGTACAAAGACAATGCTTGAGATCGGCAAGATGTTTTAAACTCTTTAAATGACCTGATGGAAGTACTTTTACTTAGATAAGGATTAAAAGGTTCTCTAAATATCCCACTCCTTTACTTTTATTGGAATTAAATCAGTTCAATTTCAGTGCAGCTGCTGATCCAAAGCTCCAATTGACAATCTTAAATGCCTTTGATAATAAAAGAAAACAGTTATTAACCAATGTATTTCAATTTGATATACAAAATCTTTAAAACATGGGATTTCACTGGAAGAAACAATAGAAAGTAATACTAGGAACTTAAAATCCTCCCAGGCAGGAGGGGGTTATAGCTATCTGATCCACTACTAATGGCCATAACTGCATGAAGCACTGCATATATATTATTTAATTTCATTTTCTCACAAATCTAGTAAAGTTATTATTGACAGTTCTAGTCTATAAACAAAGAAATTGAACTTAGACATAAATGGGAAGGAAAGAAATGATCTGAATCTACACAACCCAATATCTGGGATTCAAAAGGTAAGGAGGAATGAGCATGGAACCCAGGAAACCATGGTTTAAATACTGGATTCCTCAACTTAAACTAAGCCTCTCTGCATTAAATTTCTACATCTTCAAAACAAGCAAAGTGTTCTCTTTCCTGTTTACTTCCTATGCCTGCGAAAAAAATGTTTGTTAAAGATAGAACTGGAAAAATGTAGGATATTGTTATTATGTTTGGGAGAAACTAGACAAGCTTTGGGGATGGCTTGGTTTCCAGCTACTATTTGTTGCCACCCCAGACTGCATCCATAGATACAGCAACTGCAAGAGAAAGAATGTTTATAGAAGGTGGAGGCGGTGATCACTTGTCTCCTTCAATGTCTCCAAGGACACTGGCCTTCTGTCTTTGAGCTGCCTTGTTCCCAGGCCCAGCCAGGCTGCCTGGTTCAAACCCTGATGATCCCAAGAACATCAACCCTGAGGGCAAGCACACAGCTTCTCTTGAAACACTGTGACAGATGAGTCCACATGGTCTCTCCTCTTCTGACTGGGTGACAGTTTTCCTCCTCTTCTTTCAAGGGATGACAAGGTTTTCAATAAATGTACAACTAAAATACTCCAATGTCCAAGGGTCAATGCGGAAGTAAAGCTGGGTTACCTCATGCCACCTCTCAGGGACCTGAAATTCCTAACTGGCCACAATCTTCACAAGACAGTTTAGAAGATCCACCATTCATAGAATTGTAACATTCGGATCTGGAAAGCAAATTAGTGACCACTTATTCCAATTCAATTACTTAATGATTACTGATTTTGTGGTAGACATTTTCTGCACAGTTCCATTTAGTTCAAATAACAACCTTGTATGAAGTTTGACTGTTAATGGGCCCATTTTGCAGATGAAAAATCTGAAGCTCTTGTAAGTTTACTTAGGTCCTTGAACCATGTCTAAACGATCCCAAAGCCCATAATCTCAACTACTGCCCAGAGATAAAGTGGCCCTAGGTCATACAACTAATTAGTGGTAAGCCTGAAAGTAGGTCTCAGTTTCCTTTGTACCACATCTCACTTACTTCTGAAGAATTTACTTGAATTGCCTGTATTCTTATAAAAGGTGCTCTAAAGCATTATTCACTTTGTCATAGCCAAGTAGTTGATCCGAAAGCAAACCTGCTCAATTATAATCCACTGGCTAAAGTGGACATCTAGGAAGGTTCTTATGAATTATAAATTTATTTATACCTTTATTAACCCTAATGGCTAAATGCTAAAATCACCCATTTCTAATGCTGAGGACACAGCAAACTATAAATTTCATACCTTCTTATGAAATAGATGCCTCATCCCTTCCAAAGATCTCTGGCAATTTTTAAAAATTAAGACAAAACAAATCATCAATATATTTGTGACACTGCAAGGATCATTTGAGGAGTTCTTAAAACCAGTTTGGTTTAGCACTCATAAACAGGTAAATGCTCTCTATTTATTATTCATTGTCAAAGTTACACATTACATGTAAATTCTGTCTTCTGTAAGCTTTCAACAGAAGGCTCCATTAAGAATATGAGAGTCTGTAAAAAAGTAGACAAATGCGTGGCAAATGCTTTTTATTTTCTATCTTATTGATCACTCATCATCAGTAGATGCCATGGAGAACCCTTTTCAGCTCACAAATTGACTATCTATCAAAATAAAATATGTGTTTGATGAAATTTGATTTGCTAAAAGATAAGGTTAATTGCTACGCTAAGTACAAAGGAAGTTTTTTGGAGTGTCTTTGGCTCAACATTTTTTTCCTCCTCTATTTCTGTTTTTCATCATCTTGCTTCTTACTTTCTTTCCCTCCTTCTATCTCTGCAAAACCCAGAACTGTGTTTTTGTTGTTAGGAAGAAGGGAGGTAAAGGGCAGAATTTCTGCTGGGGTGTAAAACATCATTACTAATACACACAGAATATTCCGTCTCTCAAGGCTCCAACTAGGAATTTCAGAGGAACTCCAAGTCATTATTTCTTTGCACAGGTTATTGCTTTAAGGAGATCATCATGAATTATATATTTTAAAAGTAACTTATCACCATTGTCATTATCGAAAAATATTTGTAGAGCACACAATGTGCTTGGAACAGTGTCAGAAGCTGTATATTCTTGAAGGCTTTAAACAACACATTCCTTGAAAAAAAAAATGGGAATTCCTCTTTGAACTTCCATTTTCAACCCTCTTGGATTTGGAAGGTGCATTAAAATTATCCTTTATTTCAGGTTTTAATGATATCTTATGCTGATTTTCCTATCTCACTTTTATGGAATTTTATGGATTTCAATGTTTTCTCCAACATTTTATTTTTTAGAACAAGCCCTCTTTTCTCACTCATGCATAAAATGTCCTAACTGTTCATATTTAACTTTAAATATCTTTGTGGGAAGGACACAAATTCATTTAAGAAACCAAACATGTGAAAACTCTGAGTAGTAAATATTTATAAAGATGGTAATGTTCTCTCTCTTGACCTGGGTGGTGGTTACATGGGTGTGTTCACTTTGTGATAATTCATCAGAACTGTACACTTGTGATTCCTGCATTTTCCTCTAAGTGTATTTACCTCAATAAAATAATTTTAAAATATGTATTTTTGAAGAATTCTATCCTGGCATCTTCTCCCCAAACATATACAAGCCCACAATTGCCCAAGTTATTCTCCCCCTCCAAAGAACCTCCCTGCTCACCCTGTAGACTAATTCTTCAACCTCCATCCTGATAAAGTGGTTTTAGAAGCCTTAGGCATCAGATATTCTATTCTCTCATGGGCTTTCTGCACTCTGATTTTTTTTTTTTTTTGTACTGGGGATTGAACTCAGGAGCACTCAATCACTGAGCCACATCCCCAGCCCTAGTCTGTATTTGATTTAGAGGCAGGGTCTCACTGAGTTGTGTAGGGACTCACCATTGCTGAGGCTGGCTTTGAACTCACAATCCTCCTGCCTCGGCCTCCCGAGCCCCTGGGATTACATGCGTGCACTACCATGCCCAGAGGGCTTTCTTCACTCGATGGGCCCCTGTCCTCTCTCATAGGTCCTGAACTTCCCTTAATATCTCCAATGATGTAGAGAATGTTCCTCTCATTTCTTCCTCGCAGCACTATCTCTAGCCACTCTTGCTGCTACCCCACAAAGCTCCAAGTGTCCTTTCACAAGTGGCTTTCTCAGACCCCTCTTCACAAAGTACTCTTACAATTTAAAAATGGCTTTGCCTCCTGATTTCTCTCCCTTTCCCCTTTCCTCACCACATTTCTGGAACTTTTGTTTCTGAAACATGGGTCCCATTTGCTTTGGAACTCCCTGGGAAAGTACTGCTATAAGACATTCTCCCATATACATTTGTTCTTTAAGAATTTTTCTGATAGTGTTGTCATCAAGATCAATTAAGATGATCTACAGAAAATTCTTCATCCAAACCCACATAGTAGACACTCATTTAATAGCAGTTTTTTATATTGTTAATCGTTGTAGTATGGTTTCATAACAAACGCTATTATGCATTTATATAAATAGTCTTATTTAAACCCCTAGCAATCCTATGATATAGATTTGAGATCTGATTCTAAAATGAGGAAACGGAGCTTTTGTATGGAGTTGAACATTTTTGCTGGGTCACTGACCAAGTGGATGCATTTGCTTCTAAATAAACACCTTCTTGCAGGATGTGAATCCTGCCAAATTGTGGCATGGCACTCAACCCCTCAATAAGAAGTCAACAGTCAGTCCCAGTCAGCACTGTGAGAACTCCAGAAAACATCTCAAACCTGGACCTTGCTCCAAGGAGCTGATAATGGGTAAGTCAACCCTTTTGCAACCTTTGTGCAACATTCTGTCATTGAGACTTAAGGGTTTATCAGCTTCAACTGTCAATTATCTTCTATTCTTTTGTGTTTGTTGCTTTTAGTTTCTCTTCCATTCTCCCAAACCAAGTATCCACTTAAAAAGCTGGAAGTTTCTTCTTAGAAACTTCTTCGCTGTTGCAAGAATCTTCAGAAGCCTGGATTCTGAACAGTCTCGCCTAAAAATTTCTAGAATTAACTTCCTTTCTTCTATGACTGTCGGCGTGCTCTATCAAAGAAGGTAGGTCCAAGATGATCCAGTCACTCTAACAACAAAACTATTGAGCCAGATCCAGGGCTCATGTCCCTGGAGTTAGTTGGTGCTATCCCTAGTCTTCAAACGAGAAACTTCAAATATTCTTTCTTTTTTAAGAAAGGGAAGGTAGCATATGCCAGGTGTTAAGAGTTGTAACCCAAATGTACATAGGCAACACCTGACTATTTTAATAGCAATTAATTTCTAATTACTTAAGTCATTATCACTATACCTTCCACTTTTGGAGACAGCAACAAATCCCTTGTAGTAGGGCTGGCTGCTTTTTATAGCTATGAAGAAGCTTAAACTAAAGAAGGATCAAGTTTATCCCATGGAGTCCATCCTTTGTATCAATAGCACTTAGGCTTTGTTGTTAATTGTGACCACCCTTCAGAATGTGGAAAACACGCCAATGGGAAGCTTAGCTTCATGGCAGTTCTGGCTTTGGCCTTGGGCTGGACACCCACTTATGCACAGTATGACTCAAACTCCCTTCTTGTAACGCCTTATCTCTAGACACCATTCTCCATGAATCCCTTTCTCTATTCGTAATCATTTCTAATCCTCATGCTCCTCTGTCTGACCTTCTCTTCCCACAAAAATCCAGAAAGTATGCACTTAATAAACAAACAAATCCATTGACAAAGATAGATGTATTCAGGGAAGCTTTACCAAAATTCAACTTCAAACTGGTATTTAACAAAATTCCAGCCAAAATGCTCATTTGCAACTCTAGCCAACTATTTTATTGAAACCAACTTGAAGCCAAACATTTTCTGAATGCCTACAAGGCTACAAAAATAATAAATAATGTTTGGCTCTCTTTCAAACCTTGGAGGATTCAGTCTCAATCACAGAAAGAACAAGAAGACAAGGTAAAAGGAAATAGACCTGAGAAAGGTTATGGCTTGGCTAGTGACCCCCGCAACCAGATATCAAACAGTAGTTCATTTGGAGAGCTTTCAGGCATTCATTACAACTGCTAGGAAATCAGGATACAGAAAAGAAACATTGATTGGGTTCTTATGAGTCCTCTTATATACCAGCACTTTTCCAATTGACTTTTGTAGATTCCCTGCCTTTAAGTTAATTTCCAAAAAAGGGAATGCTTAAGACAACTGAATGTGACAAAATTAGTAAAACTCCAGTATTTTTATGTGTTTGAACATTCAAGGACTTGAGATGTTTCAGAATTTAGTCCTGAAGACAAAGGGAGGATTAGAGTTCTAAACAACTTGCCTCAGATGACAGAGTGCTCAAGTCCATAAAGAAGAGAAAAACTAAATTGTAAATATAGTTTGTATCAACTCTAGATACCACTGGGTTGTGAGAAAACATAGAAATCATGCAAATTCAGAAGCAAATCCAGAGATAGGGACATCTCTTGATACACTCCCTAGTATACCCTGATACATCAGTAACTTGAGCAAGGTTAAAAAGTGGATCTGAAAAACTTCTAGAAAAAAAAAAAAAGAAAGAAGACACAAGCATAAAAAATACAAGCACAACTTGGATATTTTTTCTAATATCTAGAGGTTAAAAATTTGAATTGTAATATAAAAAGTTTGATTTTAATATAAAAGTAATTGAGTTAACCAAAGCACATGGTAACAAAATAAATTTAGCGTTTATTGAAGATCATGTATCAAATTTTGTACTAGTGGGATGTTTTTACATATATCACACTCAGTTCTTAAAAATCTAATGCACAAGTATTAACACAACAACTGAGGTTCAAAAAAATAAAATAATTTGTCTTACAGCCCACAGCTAGTAACTGGTAGAACCAGGAATCACAAGTCCACCTCCTTCCAAAGCTCATGTGCTTCATTCCACAGTCAAGCTAACAGCAGGAAGAATAAATCTTCCAAGTTTTCACAAAGTATTCAAATAGTTCTAGCTTTGAAAAAATAACACCAGTCTTCAGAGAAATATTAAATTTGTCACCATCTGAACAGATTCAATGACTACATAGAAATTTCTTTTTATTGCACTCAAATACACATCTCTGACATCACAAATTCATACATTGCTATGCTCACCAAGAGATCAATAGAAGTATCTTACTAGGAATTTGGTAGAATCCCCAGAATATTTGAAAAAAAAAAATGTATAGGCAGTGTTAGAAGCAGCTTACCCCTTGATAGTCTATTGTTAATATTTTTCCAGTTTATCTGTTCAATGGATATTCTATCACATTAGCATAGCTTTGTTATCAAAACTGCTTTGTATCAATGTCTTCCTTTTTCTTTCTTAAACGCCCATAATAGAAACCTACCAAGACAGTAGACAAGATAGCAAAGTATGCGCCTGTCCTTCCCTGAGCAGTGTGGACATGACATGTGGGTATGGATTCACCCCTGCTGTCTCATCTTCTTCACCAACAACTAATACAGAATTTCCATTTCCATTTGCAATCTCCTTTTCCTAATGCTTTCCAGTGAAAAAAATAACTACATCTCTATTCATGCCTCCTCTTCTTTTTTATTAGAACATTATAATTTTTCAAAGCAGTTGGGTTTCATTTTGACAAAACATACATGCATGAAATTTGATTTCAGTCTCTATTCTCCCCCCTTCTCCCTTCCCTCTTCCCTCCCACTATTCTCCTTCCTCTAATCTACTGATCTTCCTTTCACTTATTTATTTATTTTTGATGGGTTATTTCTACTTATACATAAAGATGAAATTTCCTGTGGCGTATTTTTTATGCACATAAAGTGATTTTGTTAAATTCATTCTGAATTTCCTCCCCTTTCTTTTTCCTCCTCTTTCCCTCTTAATCTCCTTCTACTCTACTATCTTCCTTATGTCTGTATGATACCCAACACCCCTGCCCCTCTTTTCCCTTTACTTCACTCTAGCTTCCACATATGAGAGAAAACATTGACCCCTGGTTTTCTGATTCTTGCTTATTTCACTTAGCATGATGCCCTCTAGTCCATCCATTTACTGGAAAATGCCATAATTTCATTCTTCTTTATGGTTTAGTAAAACATCATTTTTATATATATAAAATTTTCCTAATCGATTTATGTATTGACATCTTGACTGATTCCATAATTTGGTTATTGTGCATTGTGCTGCTATTAACACTAAAGTGTCTTTATCACTATATAGCATTCTGATTTTAGTTCTTTTGGATAAACACCAAGGAGTGGGATAGCTAGGTCCAATGATGCTTTCATTGCTAGTTTTTTTTGAGGAATCTTCATGCTGCTTTACAGACACTTTTCAATGCTAAGCTTTTTAGAGAGAAAGGAAAATCAAATTTAATGCTAAAACAAAAGGAAAAATCAGTATTATTTATGTTGCTTTGAAATTGGGTCTGATGCATCCTACAAACTTAAAAGCAAAAAGTGGGCTTTTGTTTTGTTTTGTTTTGTTGTTGTTATTTGTTTATTTTTAATTAGGATAAAATCTTCTGCTTATTTTTGATCTTAAGTGATTTGATTTCTAAAAGTAAACTTAAGGTATGTTTTAACTATAAACTTGAAACTATATTTTAATTCCCCACAGTGGTCTTTGAGATGCTTTTACTTAGGAGTTAACATGAAGAACAAGATCACATTTACTTACTCTTCCTCAATTATTTTATAACTTTATATTTAACTAAATGTTTTTCATGGTATCATTTTTCTAACTCAGCAAATTATCATTATCCTAATTCTGTCAAGTTTCAGTTATTCAAGGACAAGTTATGAGCTAGAGTCTTTAATTCTTTGTCTCAGCAAACATTTGATTTAGTTCAACAAATTTTTATTGAGTACTTACTAAGTATCAGATGCTATACTCAGAATTATATAGCTGAGAATATGAAGATAAATAAGCATAGTCCCTACATATAGAAGTTCACAGTCTAATCAAAGCCACAACATGTAAGCGAGAAGACATCATTGTGTATAGCAGGTGCCAAAATGGATAGACTTACAAATTGAATGGGATTCCCAAGAAAGGAAACAGGAAAAAGGAGGCACTGTCTGCTACTTTTCAATGTATGTCCATCACACAGGTGTACATGTGTTATGGGAAGGAAAGGGGAAGATGAAACCATTCCAAGTATAAACAAAAGCATGATACCGATCACAGGATTCTTGGAACTCCAAAGAATTTGTTTTGGCTGGAGTCGACAACATAGGAGAAGAAATGGTCTGGTTTGAAATCAAACTAGAAAGAAAGGCAGGGATAATCCCCACTGAAGTCCAAATCCCAGCCCCCAAACCAGACCTACTCAATCAAAATAAGGAAATGGGTCCTGAGGATCTGTATTTGCATCAAGTTCCCCTGGTGCTTCTTATGTTTACTGAAGTTGAGCAACCTGAGGTAGATGGTGGAGAACCTCTGAAGGAATTTCATCTTCCTTTCATGATCATTATTCCTACCATTAATCAGCCCCACCCACCGGATTTAAGGAGCTGAGGCTCAGGGTCCAATCTCACTTTGCCATAATAAAGCGGCACAGGCAAAAGGGGTGGATGTGGAAGCTACAGTCTGTAAAAGGTAATGGGGCCAGACCTCCATTGTCTCACCTGCCCATTTGGTGAGTATATAGTCATTACTTCTCTTTTTGCTTATGTTAATGCTGGTTTTCTTGCCTGAGGAAGAGTCTTAGAGGGTTTGGCTTTGGTATTTCCAAATTCTTTATAAAGCTTGGGTAAAAAATGGCTTTTCAGCGATCAGTTTTACAATTCACCTGTACTCCTGCTTGATTATGTTTCCTATTATATAATGATCAGAGCAGATCCTTTCTAAATACAAAGATGATACTTTTATGACATAACATGCAATGGTGCTTATGCCAGAAATCTGTGAAAATAAGTTTTAGTTTAGCAAGAGAAGTAGCTTGGTAATGTCTCATCAAGAAAAATGCAGGAAGACGTTTGAGATGTCAGTGTCTGTTCATCGCCTGGGATACTTAGTGAATGAAGCCATTCTTCGACATAAGGTGCCCATGTCCCTCTGCTCACATGATTTTTCTTGCAGGT